AAGGGGGTTTATTTTCATTTCTATAGTTATCTGTATTGGCTGAAACATACCACCTGAGAGAGATAAGTCAATCAGCACAAAAGTACGTGGGAAATAGTTATATTCACTAACCGATTTATTTTCGAAAAAATAACATAATCACAGTGATGCTTTGGTTAATAGATCCACATCACAAATCATGCCAGGCCAGAAATCCTTCCTGTCCTAATATAAAAAAGATAAAATAATTCAGTTCCCTTCCCAGACAACAATACAAACACACAAATACACAATATCTCCCCTACAGGAATACCACGAATGCTCAACCGGGTCATTACAACGCTACACCTACAAGAACGCTGACTGTGGTTCTGTTAGCGGTCTCACTAAGGGAAGGGAAGGCTTGCTCGCTGTTATTGGCCTCTGACAGCATTTCCGAGACATATAAGAATACGAATGGAAGCGTAAGGTACTTGCCTGGCATGTGTTTGGGGTTTGTAAAAGTGTGATATTGTATAAAGCAGAGGTAGAACGTGTGCCGGAGGTTGGTGCTGGCCCCCTGCAAGGCCCTGGTGCCGCTAACAGGTGGTGGCTTTATCAGATTTTGTCTCTAATGGATAATAGTATCATTTTGATTTGCTACTTGGCATTTTTAAAAAGATTAGTGACATTCTACTTCAGTTTATCTGGAAGCGATACTCCATTTACTTATTTTAAGGAGCTGCGTCGGTATATTGGATCATATTTACCTTATTTTTACTAGCATCATTGTTTTTTTATTATTATTATACTTTAGTTAATTGATTTTTTAGAAAAAGATTGATGTCATGTGTCATAAAGTTGCCCAGCATCATAGCTGAGGTGAAATATGCACAGCTGTCCATTGCATGTTCCCTCATACAGATTGTTCAGACACAGTCAGTGAACCTGTGGGAATAAACCATAACTCCTCTTGTTGAGGATCTTATTTAAAACGTTACGAACGCCCTGGCAGAGGCTTTTTAAGTGGTATCTATATTTTGTGATTGGCTTGTGTTCCAGAACCACTTGATTTGTCATTAGTGATGGAAGGCTTACACAAGTGCAACCAGATAGTGAAACAGTGTCAAGTGATTGCCATGGACTCCATGCATTGTGCTATGACAAGGACCTGCAAACCTCCACTTTGTGTATTCTGCCGAGATAGAGATTGATTTGATGATGGATATATTGTGAGCTTCATTTTCGGAGAAGATACAAAATAGAGATGCGTTGGTCCTTGCTGGTGGGCCAATAGGAGCAGACACTACATTGTTAGCAGATGTGTAGGCATAACAATTACTAGAAATTTTAATTACAAGCAGTTGTCATATCATTCAATGAATGGCATTAAAAATATTAAATTCATGAGGTCAAATGTCTTCTAAATGATGTCAAGTTGAAAAATTATCGGAGATGTTAAAACATATCAATTTCTTTATTTGCATATCCATGCCGTAATCATCATCACATCTAATACGTTTGGAAAGGAAAAAACAAAGAACACTTGGTTTATTTTCTTGTTTCTTAATAGAAAGACCAAAACCTATTTCTTGGTATTTTCCCCCAAGTATATGTATCTTTTTTATTAACCTTTAACATGTAATCCTAAATGAATTGAAGCATACACAAGGAAGATACTTATGGCCGTGTGCTTAAAGACATTGTGTAAAGCAAATCAGTTCTTAAGACAATTTTCTTATGCTAGAATCTTTACAATTATAGGAAGTCTTAACGTAATTTTAGGACTGTCAATTTCAAAAATACATTGTTCTTATTCGCTTGTGTTATTTTGGTATATTATTTTATTTTTTGCGGTATTATTCCTTGGTAGATGATTTTGTGCTTCAAAGAGTGGATTCCACAAATTCTTTAAGTATATGACCAACAGTGTCACTTTTTTTTGCATTTTCTTTTATGGACAAGGTAGTTATCTTATCTTCATAAGTATATATACATTTTATATTATATTTATGAATTATCATTAGACTTTGTTAATTAATATGTATCTGTATGATAGTACATGAAATTAATCTTGAAAATATTCAGCTCCTGTTATTCCTGTAATTTGTTATGAATATACTTATAATGACAAAATCACCCATAACCCAATATCTAGTCAAATATTGCAATGAAAGTCAATGATTATGAGCAATAAGGATGATCAATTTTATTGTCTGAAACTATAGTTGTCAGTATGAAGATTTTAGAGCTAAATCTTTGACTTACGTCCAATCTTTGACTTATATGTCAAATTGTTAGCATCAACATCTTGTTAAATGGTATCAGAGAAACTGATTGTTAGCTATTCAGTAATCCATCCTGAGAAATATAACATCTTTGTTGGAAGGTATCAATGAAAATTGATGTGAGACCCGCTAATTTAGCATATTTTTTAACTGAAAGTTCCTGACCATGCTATTCCTTGGACTCTGTATGAACATTTGACCCCAGTTATGTACTGTTCTTTGTGAAATGTGTTTTCTTTTATATTTTTATACTATTTCTAAAAGGATAATGTTTGCATCATTCATGGATGATCTTATTTGCAGGTGTCAACACACCTCACCTTGTTGATGTACAAAGTAGATGAACACCATGAATGGCATGTTCATTCATCTGTTGATACCATTTTGAAGAGGTTAATACTGACCTTAACTCTCTTGCAGTAGGGAATTTGACATATACAGAAATATATGCTTGATGTGGGTTATACAAACTCCTTATGGCAAACATCTTGCCATAGACTTCTGTCCCTATAATATTAAGAATGATACCAAGTATATTTTCCTTCTGTGTACTTGGTTTTCACTGGAACAATAATATCTACCAACCACCAATATATATATATGTGTATATATATATATATATATATATATATATATATATATATATATATATATATATATATATATATATATATATATATATATATATATATATATATGATATGCAACTTTTACATTGACATTATATACTAGTGTAAACCATACTCAAGGACTGATGGATTGTATGAAACAAAAATTGCAAGCAATTGCAAAATCCTGATACATGCAGCAAATGAGCATGCAAAATGCATAGAACCCAGCATTGCTGGATTTAGCCATACAGCCACAGATTCATTGACGTTGATAAGTAATAATGCCCGTAACTTTACTTGCTGTAGATTGTTTTTTGTAGCTGCTGGTGTTGTCTTGCATTTTCTTTATAGTCATCACTTTAATTTGCTCTGTTCAGAGAATTTACAGCAACTTCTAAGGTGTAAAGTCAAAACCCCAAAAACACTGACTTCTTTAAGTAGTTATGCATTCTATTAGTGATAAATAACTGTCACATCAGCTTGATGGTAACCATTCCACACTGGTGAACATGGCCATGATATGCACTGATGAAATGCTCTTTGCACTATGAGATTACACAGCTAAAAAAAATTTAAATCAAAAAGCTTGAATTGGTTTTATTATTGGAGTTTTTTTATTGGAAATCCAAATTATCTTATCTTTCCAAATTGTAGAATAATGGCCAGAATTATTTTTAAATTTGTTTCACCATGTTCTTTTGCTTTGTAACTTTGTATTTTGCTACCTGTCTAATTTGTAAGCACCAAAGATAATGATAAATTGAAAATGTTTGAAGGCTGCAAATAAGATCTGTTATATATGACATTGCTTGGAACATGGCCCAAAACGAATATTCTTGGATATTTTATTATATTTTCAGGGATAAAAGTGGTTATGTATGTAATAAAATTCAAGTCACACTGTTGGTTAGGTGTGCAGTGACCTTGAATACTTTATGGCTCCACGTTGCATTGTTTTTTCTACTACTATTCCTACTACACAGTCACTCATCATTCTTACAGGCAAAATGCTAAATGTGTATCTTTCTCTTCTATTGGTTTCTTTTCTATTTGTCTTCATTTGCAGCAAGTTGTACATTATAGCATTTATTTGATTGTATATGTAATTAGGCATCACTTGCTTATGTTTATCATAACAATTTTGTTTTTCTGATAAAAGGTATCCCAGATGAAAAGAGAGACCACAACACTTTCATAAGATGGATCCACCAGAGAATAATATACCTAGTTCTCATGATGAAGAAACACAAGAAGTGAGTGGAGTCTCTGGGAGTTTTAAATAGTAATAAAGATAATGTTGACTTATATTAGAATGATTTTGATTTTATTAATGTTTGGAATATAAAGTTTTCTTAAATTATGGTCCAGTATTTAAAGTGATTTGGAGTACAGACTGAATATTATTCTATGAAAAAGAAATTGATTGTAATTTAAATCCTACAGCACAGAGAAACCCTAAGTCAGTCTCATCAAGAAGACGGGGAGAATGAAGCTGTGCCTTTGATTGAGTCTTGCACTCAAGCTGAAGCTGACCCAAAAGTGATTAAGGAGAATGCTGTGAGAGTAGCTTTTCTTCCACCTGCAGAGGAGGCAGATCTTCCAGTATCAGAGTCACTGGTGCAGGGTGATGCATCTTACAGTGCTGATGATAATTCTTCTTATAATGATGATGAGGCAGATATAGATCAAGATATTGATGATGCTCTAGATGAAGGGTGAATTTTTGCTTATATTGTGTTTATACTTGATTATGTAAAAGAATGTTTGATAATGGTGGTATGTTGTATATGTATGATAAGCAAGATCTTTTCTTTGTTTTCCCATTTTATTTTCATGTTGATTGCCATTTTTAGAACATTGATGCAAAGATGTAACTAAAGTTAACTATATTCCAGATACATGGGTATGGAATGCACATTAGAGCGTGGATTTTCACTTAATGAAGCTGCTATTGCCCGTGACCTTCGATATGAGCGGTATGATGAAGTTGCTGTGAAATATGAGAAAAGTCATTCTTTTTCAAAATATCAGCCTTCATTGAAGCATTTTATACCAGTTAGAAAATCTTCAGCGTAAGTTGGTTTTAGACTGAAATTCATTAAAATGAACATCCATGACAAATGGTGAACATATAGATAAAAATTATTTATCAGTAGCATATAAAGCTAGAGATAAAAAGTGGAAGTAAAACCTGCTTGCTTATATGTATGAATTTTGTATTATATTTTGGGTGTCTTGTTTGTTTCCTCTCCATAAGATATTTAATTGAATTGTGAATATTGATTTGGAAAATGTTATATTGTGAGGATTTATTCTTATATAACACAACTATCTAAGTAGTGTGACTATATCCATTATTTTTTTATGTAGGGAAAGAGATGAAATGCCAATAGACTCAACTGGTCTGTATGGCTTTGTCTCTTACTCCTGGATCACTAGTCTCATGTGGAAAGCATACAAGAAAGGATTGAAAGAGGAGGATGTCCCTATTTGCTCAAAGTATGACATGTGTGACTACAATACTGACAGGTAATTTACAGGCTTTGTTCTTTTTTACATGTTTACTGATCTGGATTTTGTGTGTGCTGTGCCATTATTATTTTCTTGTATTAAGACTTTTTTTTTAACTATTCTTAAACTTTATTATATTAGTCACAATGGAAAGTTTTTTTCAATGCAAGCAGTTTGTTTGACAAATGTAAGCAAGATCAGACAAAGATTATTGGTCACCAGCGACTGGTGAATTGTTTTACTTTGCCCTTTTTATGTCTATTTGAAGAAGTCACTGATTCTTTCCTATTCCATCTTTGAATTGATGATCTTCTTGCATCTTCTTGTTCCTCTTCTGTCTTCATTTGTTATGGTTATTTTGTTTCCACAACATCTTTCAAGTTCATTCAGTGGGCTCACAGCTTTAACTGTTGTACCATCTCATCTCTTTATCCTTCATATGTTTTAGTCAGTTGTTTGACAGCATGGGAATTTACTTTAGTTTCTTTTTATTCATCACTTTAGACCTATTCCACCAGTCATCCTTTTTCAGATTAAGCCCTTATCACTGGCTTATTTGTTGTGATTCATGTTTTTATTTATTTATCTGATCAGGGTTTTTTTTTCCTTTCTGAATCTATAGATGTACTTGTTTTAGCTCACTGCAGTTATCATTGGTCACATTTATTATATATTGTCATACAATCCTAATTTCCCAAGCTGATGATTTTTTTATTTATTATTCTTAATACCCTGTCTATGATCATTTCCTAACCTTCTTTCCAACCAAAGAACTTTATACTCCACATTCTGCTCAATATCCAGTGCTTTAGCCTCCACTCCTTGGTATATGATTTCTAGAAACATTGGCCCTGTGATATCCTTTAGTTTCCAGGCTGAGCTAGATGATTATTAGATTTACAATAATTAACTTCTGAAAACACTTTGAATAGACTTTGTATTTGTAGTCTCCCTTTATGTCCCTCTACCTGTTAAAGCAATATTGTTACTTGAATCTCTTGTGCATGTAACCAAGCTGAATAGCTCTCTCTTGGTAAGAACCCCTATCTCTTTTGGTTTTCCTAATTTCACTTATTGCTTTGTTTGCTATAATTTCTATGAGATCCAATCCAGTCATGATGGATTGACTAAAGCCTACTTTCACCTATTTCCATGTTTGCTATAATTCTTATGAGATCCAATCTAATCATGGTGGATTTACTAGAGCAAAAATAATAGCAGTCATAGAATGCAACATTGAAATTTCTTTTCTGGATTATCTCTTCTGAAATGCCATTTTTGCTCATTCTGATGTTTTGATTATTGCTGTTATGTTTTTTATTATTTATTATTATTATTTGTATTTCTATTTTTATAGTTGTTATTACTATTGTTGTTCTATTTTTTTTTTCATTATTATTATTATTATTTGTTTTATCATCATTAACCCACTTACAATGGGTGTCACAGATATAAGACACCCGGAAAAGTAAACATTACCGGGCATCCCGCTGGTGTGACGTTAGATCGCAGCTTATGCTCTGATTTTGTTGCCCATGGCTGGCGCTGTGGGGACAGGTACCCGGACTTGCCCATATGCCGATTTTGAAGCCACCCAGAAAATATTATTTTTGGCATGAAAATGTAACTTCACTAGTGGGTTAACCTCTTCATGTAGAGATTTGTGTATTAAAATTACTCATTTGACCCAAAGGTTCGAAGCAATGTGGAATGAGGAGGTCAAGAGGAAAGGCAAGGATGGGGCCTCACTCCAGCGTGTTGTATGGCGGTTTCTAAGGACACGTCTCATTGTGGCCCTCACTTTTTTCATGATTACCCTCATCATGGGTTTCGTAGGACCGGTGAGTAATTTATGTTTTTTCTTTCTTTCTTTCTTTTTCATTTCTTTGCTTCTTGCTTTTTTACTTTTTGTGCTTGTTCTCTTGTATATTTCTTCCTCCTCTTTGTAGCTAGCTTGATCAATTTCTTATTATATTGTAGCCAACTTTCTCTCTCTCTTTGTCTCTCTCTCTCTGTCTCTTTCTCTCACACTCTCTCTGTTTCTCTCATACTCTCTCTTTCTCTCATACTCTCTCTTTCTCTCTCATACTCTCTCTTTCTCTCTCTTTCTCTCTCTCTTCTTCTCTCTCTTT